ATAACTTTACCCTAGAATAAAAATCGTCCGTGAAATTCTTGTCTATCTATTCAAATAAACTGAACTCTTACCAAGTGTCCCAGTACTCACGCAAGATATTGACATTAAGAGCCAGTAAATGAGTCGATTCATCATTGGGATCGATTGTTTGTTTGACTAGCAGTTATTGCTTCAACAATAGCGGCATTTCTTTTGTAAAATGGAAATGAGATAGTCAAGTTATCGAAAAGGTTGATTCTCTATTGTTAACGATTGGAGCAGAATTTAACGATCGGCTCCCTAAATTTTTCATTAGCCTTTCAGAGGATCTTTAAAAAATGTGCTATGGCTAATCATGATTGGCCCTTTTTATGCTATAGACTATACATTTAACGTGTGACGTCGTTAACGTCTTCTGTTAAGTGCGTCGTTCAGACGTACTTAAAGGGGTCGTCTCATGAACTGCGCATACTCGGGAAGTCACTGTGAAAATCGCTCTTCCCGCCCTCGTTTGAATTGTTTTTATTTAAAAGAAGGTCGTGGGCAACACTCGACTTTTACTTCCCGCCAAAATGATGCGTGTTCCAGTTAGTGTTCTTTCTCTAGCGGGTAGATTATACTCTAGAGGGTTCTAAATTTTGACTGAGCAAATAAATTTGTTATTTTTGTCGCTTTGAGGTCATGACACACATATCGATTTTTCTCCTTTGGTTTTTGTTTATGGTCGGCAGGATTTGCCCTCTGATGCAAGAGCATTTTCTTCAACCCTTTTTAGAAACTTAAAGCTCTTTATTGCAGCTAAATAAGAGTTTTAATTTTCTCCAGATTTTCTAGATCTGAATAACTAATCGATTTTCCCATGCTCCTGAATGTGATGGAAGTTCCCTCAATGATTTTGTCACGCTGATTTTGTCATATGCAGGAAGTTAAATTTCATCAGAAGCATATAACTAAACAGATAAGGGGAAGTTAGACGCTTCGGTGTTATAGTCTTATATGCTTCTGATTTCACTAGTACACTCTTTTTTATAAGAATGTTTTTCCCGCCCGGGCTTAATATCCTTATTTTCTGCTGATTTTAGGCTGAAAATATTCAAAATATACAAACATGAAAATATACAAATGTGCTGCGAAATCTCCGTCGCTGGAATCTTCATATCCTTCATCCAATTTCACAGCAAGTCACGACTGGAATATCTTCTCTTCGAGAAAAAGAAAAATACGTCTATGTCTCGTAAACCAGACTTTCTTATACTTTTTGAGATCAGAAATCGTCCTTTTGCGACCCGAATTCAATGTTTTACCGCCATGGCCGGCTCCACCACTTGTGGCCGCCGTCTTGTTTTTGCCAGATTCCGCAGAATTTTTCAAGAGTTGAGCTTCGGCTCACACATGCGCAGTTCATGAGATTTAACCTTTAAGACGACTTTTTAACGTCTCAGACGTAACATGCGCCTAGTCTGCGTCTTGTATAAAAACGGGACGCCATAAACTGGGAACATTTTGATGCCCAACTCGTGCCAGAGAAGACTTGGAAGGCTCAGTATTTTACATTTTTTTCAGAGAACTCTGTTTTTTTTCCCAGTGTTATCGTCTACTTTTATCCTTCCCGTTTTTACACCGATCGACTTTAACGTCTCAGACGTTAAATATGTCTGGCATAAAAAAAGACCAATTTTAAGTACATCGTACACCGTAAATTATCAGTTATGAACCCGCTGATTGGCAGGGGCGTAGCTGCCTTCAAGCCATTAAACCAGGGCTTAACAAAAATTTGGCTTAAATTCCAGCTCATGTAATCACATGTTAAAATGACTTTAAATTGCACCTAATACAGGCACTAATGTCCATCCTCGGTAATGGGTATGTCACATCGTGAGTTATGTGCCAATTTTACGGTAAAATTGACACATACTTCATTAGGAGAATCAGTCGCTGATCACCATCTTGGTTTTTCAAGTAGATACTTTCAGGTCTGCCCTTTGTTTACTTTAATTACCTGTTAGAAGTATTACTGAGGTTAAAAGCACTTAATTTTGGAAAGTCTCAGCTCTTAAAAAACATCTAGTCGTATTTCACGGGTAAATAATTCATACTGAAATGACTACTCGCCTTCTTCTTCTTTGATAACTTAGAAAATGCACTGTGACTTGCGACAACAAAACAGGCAAACGAGAAAACGAAAGTTCGTAGTCTAGTCGCAGCAGGTAGTTAGGGACTGTCTATTTTACGTGTCAAAAAACAAAGAAAACAAGGAAAACCAAAAGTGACGGTTAAAGATGATTTAATACCAAATGATTAAAATATCAAAAATCTAAATTAGATTGACAGTAAAGTGGAATAATATAAAAAAATCTCTATCAGTTTGGCGAAAAGGCGACATTAAGATAGAAAATGCGTAATTATGAAACTGAGCTTGTAAAAACCGCGATAAATAACAAGATTCTATGGCAATTATGTTAAAAATAAGAAGGTAAAAAACTATTTAAAAGCTCTACACAACCTTCAATTAGACAATAATTCAAAAGTATGTCCAATCCAATTTTGGGCGCTGTTCTTATAGGCATTAAAATCCGTTTTCTAGTTTGCCTGCGAGCAGATGTCTCCTATTTCCTTTGCTGCATGCGGAAATTAAACAAAGGAAATAGGAGACGTCTGCAGGCAGCCAATTTTTGAGACAAAACCAGTTAAGCTTAGATCCTTATTGTACAATAACATTCGTGTACTTCTGTCCACTACTATAAACCGAAACTAAAACGTTTTAACGAAAGAGATCACTTGCATATCGGTCCCGCTTGTGCCAAAAGTTGATTGCAAACCAAAACGATGTGTAAACGACACGAATCCTACTTGACTTCCTGTCCAAAGGCAAACTGAGACCGTAACGCGCGCTTTTATATCCGATTGGGGACGCCGAAAGATCTCATTCATTGTAATAGCCTGCGTGCGCGCATCTAGCCGAATTTTTGAAAACATACCTCAAAATGGACCAGAATATTCGCACAGAAAGCTGGCGACTGGTCACTGCGGTGAGAAAAAACATAGGGGGCTTGCTGTCCTGGTTGGTCTCATTGGCAAGTTCAGCCCCTGAGCTAACTCGCCATGGGTTGGAAAGGGGCCCCCATGTCAATCCCGGGGGGGGGGGGAGGGTGCTGCAAAAGCGTTGTACCTTCCGTTAGTCCTGGTCTGGGAGAGTCAGTGCACTGGTCATGTCTGCCTTTAGTTTGTCATGTCAAATTCTTGTAACGTTTGAGGCCCATTGGCCAATGAAAGCATTCCCCTCAAGCACGTGCTAGGCTGGGGGGGTGTAGGAAGTCAGGGGGGGTGATTTAACCTTGAATTCTCTGCTTAGAACTTGCTTAAGTCTCAAGCGTCCTCCGTCATTCAGGGCCTTTAAGTAGCTAGAGTGTATGGAAAAGTCCAGAGTGTCTTTTTGATGGACTTGATTGTTTCTTTTGCTAATCAGGAACCAAGAAGAGAGTCACCTTAAGAGAACCATGGGTAAGAGCTGAGTTTCTTGGCCATATTTACTTTAGTTGAGTCAGTTTAAGGTGTGGGGGCTCCTGGTGTCCGATGGTACGGTTTTCATAAATCCGGCTAGACATACACTGAGCAAAACCGTTTAAGTCCTTAAAACTGAGGAAGTCGCCACTTGCTCTTGCGGGCCACACCCTGGTTCGCTAATAAACTGAAGAGAAGAGATTAACGCAATGCAGGAAATTAATTCTTGTCGTAATTAAGGTAAACATTCAAGTAACACGGAAGGAAATTATCGCGAAAGAGCAGGTAAAATTTCAACGTGAAGGAAATTAATGCGACGTACTCAAAGAACGGAAACCAAACTTGTCGAAACAGAAACAAGAACGAATTTATTTTAACGGTAAATGTATCTCCTGAATGCAAGCAATTTTCGTCAGTTAACTCGCTCCAAACTTGAAGGAATCCGCTGGCCACATCGAGCGTTTTCACGGTTTGAGTTGAACTGGTGGAACTCCAACCTAATAAAAAATTAATGCTTTTCCTAGGTGTCAATAATGTCTGTAGTGTATTCAAAAATTAGAGCCTTTCGGGGACTTGGGTAGCTCTTCCTGATCCCTATGATTGTAAAGGTTGTTCCTATGTTAAACTCTTATCTGTAACTGAACCTCTTTGCGGGCAAAGCCTCCTTGAGAAAAAGACACTGAGGCTCTACCTGATTCGCGGCAGGCCTTTGAGGTCGCCGCAACCCGAAACTTTTAGACTATTCATTCTTGTTTTCTCTCGTTAAATTGGTTCGCGTGGCCGTTCGCGTGCGAGCATATCGTTTATTGATAAACCGACGGTATCAAGCAACAAAGATCTTACACGATTCATGCGGAGCCAAAATCGATCACTGAGCTGAAACGGGAGCTTCGTTTTTAGCTCCGGTTCGCCTGGTATCTAACTCCTCTACAGAACACGAAATCAGAGAGCGAAGTGCATTTCGTGCCGTGATTGTGCATTAAAGGCAGAGAAATTTAAACGACAAATATGATGATACAACTTTAAAATACTGCTTTTTTCATATTCTCTTTGCCTTCGCCTTTCGAGAAAGGTTGTCGGTGAACAAATGTGCACGCGATAATCCCGAGAGAAATATGACAATGATAAATACACTGTTCCTGACACTAAAGCTGTCGAATCTATTTTTGTTGCTTTCCTTAAGCACTTGCAAACATACTTCCATGGCTTTTCGTGCCAATTGAAGAACAGTGAATTTTAAACCGCCCACCATCGGCCATTCGGGATTGTTGCGTGCACTTTCTCCGACAACCTTTCCAGTCTTTCTCTAAATAGCTGTACATAGCATACACAGTTGAGACAAAGAGGAATTCTCAAAGTTTTATTCTGTAAGAAATTCTAAACGAATAAATTTCGATATTCTGACAGATTTTCATCATATGAAGAAATAAGAGATACCAACACAAAGACCAACATCAAAACTAACTGCTAAATATTTGTCCTATTAACAGCAAGTTAGTTCAGAGGTCAGCCGACCAAGATTAATTTTTCTTTTCTCTTGGATCTTTGCAATTTTTTTCACACTGCTTGTCCTTCTTTCCGCAAACTCTTATCCATTTGGCGTCCTTTGTCGGCTTTGGGTGAAGTCGTTTAGTTTTGGGGTCAAATACGATTTTTACAGGTAGATACGAAGCTCCTAAAACTCCATTTCTGAAAGAAACAGAACGACTCAAATGTCAAAATAAACTCAGGAAAATAAGCGATGGACCGCACGCCTTGGGGTCCACCAATTATTGGCGAACAAACCCCCAGCATTTTTTTGCAGAGATTCTGTCCCATAAAATCTTATTTTTTTGTCAGCCACCTCAAAATTGGCTTTCTAGCTTATTTCCTTATGATATCAGTTTCATCTCTAGAATTGTTATGCTGTAGCTCATAATTTTTGTAGCAAGCGTCTCTTTTGACTGAGAGCTATAACGGGCATTCAAAGAGCAGGCATGTGTCGTGAAATAAAATTGTAAAGATGATAGATTACCCAAGACCCAAATAGCGTTTGAAAATTCTCGCTCGTTACAGATTTTAGTTTTTCTTCTTACCTGCACAAGGTAACTTTTAGCATCTGAGACATTTTCAAGTTGTTACAGTTTCCAAGAAAAAAGTGTTCGTATGAATCTATTAAGTTTTTATCTGGTTTCTTGCCAAATCTTCCATATACAGCCTGTAAATAAATAAATAATAAATACTGCAATGAAGAAATAAACTGATAAGTGAATGAATAAATGAAAAAAGGGTTAAAGGTCTCTTGTTCTATTTCCGCTTGTTTCCTCTTCCCATTTGTCAAAGTATCACGAGAAAGATCTGAATCAATTTATCTTTTTCGCATAACTGAGAGGAAGATCGCTTAAAACGTATCACAATACCTACAATTAAATTATACCTTTCCCCTTCATTACCAGGAAAAAATAATAACAAGTCAATAAAAAATAAATAAAAGCAAACAAAGCGGTCCCGGTTTCATCATTCATTTTCGATTCCCTATTTGTTTTTGATAATGTAATATATTTCACTATCGACATAACTTGATTGCCTGGTCCCTGTGCAGCGTCTTCCCAGGCTTTCTCGGTTGATGCATTTCGGTGACGTATCCTAGATGAACAGGCGGGACTCGCTCGGACCACGTGACCGGTAAACACATTGGCCGCGCCGAATAATGCGGCCTAGAGACTAGGCAAATAACTTAAGAGGTTTATAATGTACTAGACATGGTCAGATAGATGAATTTTCTTGAACATTTTTCTGGCAAGTGTCATGTATTACCGGGTTGACTCCGCTTATTGGTCTTCTCGGATGGAACAAGAAATTCCCCAAACTATAGGCCACCAGCTTGTTGTCATGGAGACAGTGTTGCTGAAGCACGTGTGGATGCGCCCCAATGATGACTTGCACGCCAAGGGACATAAGATGTTCTATTATATGAAGCTGATACGGGAGAGCATTTCGATAAAGTTCTTCTCCGAAGTGCATGAAAACTACAATGACCTCCACTTTAGCCTTTTCAATGATATTAAACAGCAGCTACATCAGTCTTTTAGCATTATAAAAATCTTTAGAGTGAAAAATAAAACACATTTAGGATAACTTTGTAAGAATTATGAAAAAAGCAAACAAACCTGGCCCTGCCAGCTGACTCGTCCCGAGTCGTCTCTCAGTCTCCTATTAATATTGACGAGAGATCAGCGGTCAAGGAAGTGCGGGGGATGATGGGAACGTCAAAGGGGAGTCTCTTCCTTTCCCTTTTCCCCTTCCCATCGTCCCCTTCGCACCAGTTGCCGTAATAATCTCTCGCGACCGTTCTTTGACCGCTTGCAGATAATAAGAGACGACTAGGTGCAAGTCAGCCCTGGCAGGGCCTGGAATGGAACCTTCTGATACGGAGACCAAAGTACAAACCGCTTAGTCACCGCGCCTCTCTAAAGTTATAATGAGGCCGAGAGAATCATCCTTCCATGTTCTTTTTTTAGTTTTGATAAAAAATAGTTCGCGAATATACAAGCATCTTCACTGAGGGGAAGAGCACCTTAAAATTAGGAAATTTATCACGCTTGATACGTCTAAAAAACGAGAGAAGATATCACTCCACTATACATACGTCTGTAAAATTCTGAGACTTAGTTAGTTTTCAACAAATCACTTTTAAACTTGGCAACTTTTACTGGTTTTAATGCGTTCTTTCCCGCCGTGTTACCGGATTTTTTAGCACTTGTCCCAGTCAAGAATTTAAAAAACGAGTCTATTACCAAAAGTACCAAACACCGAGTGTCGCTTTGAGCTTGGTATCTTATAGTCTGTACTGCGCTAAATTTCATCGCGATTTTGTTTGGCGATTAAATGACACTCCAAAACGGTGGACTTTTACAGCAGTTTATAAAAAAGTGATGTGAAAACCTTTTTCAAATTGCTGACATCTCTGGTGGCAATGACGTCGCTATAAACAGCAGGGCCAGCATTAAATAGCTTTCTTATTTCAGTGCAGTTTAAACCCATCATGGAGGACGTGTCGCAATAGCCAAGGAATCCAATCTTTATTCCTTTTACCTCCAAGATAAGAGGTTTCTGCAATAGAAGAAGGCAAGATATAATAATAATAACAATAATAATAATAATAATAATGGTAATTATTATTATTATCATTATTACTATAATAATGATGACGATAATAATAAAAATAGTAATGATAATGATAGGATTAAGGTGAAGGCAAAGGAAATAAGAGACTTCTACACCAGAAGGCTGAAAACTAGGCAGCTATTATACTTTGGGGGATGCCCATCCAAACTGAAAGAGATCAAGGTGAGCATGCCACATATCTCGTGGTAAAGAACCAGAAGAAGTGAAACTGTCGTTTACGTATCGATGTGTCTTTTCCCTCGAAGAAACACTTCTTTGAGAACAACGGAAAAACTCTCCCAAGTAAGACATAGAAATGGTATGATACATTTATTGGGAGTAGATCTGGTTTAAATCGTTGCTGAGTGTCACTGCATGTAATACTGACCTGGGATGTGTCATACTTTCCATAACTGACACCAAAATATTTTACGCCTGTCTTCTTCAGAACTTCAACGGTGAAGTTGGCCCCTTTTGTGCCAAAGTCGTTGAAATGATTGTTAGCAAGTGTAACCACGTCAAATCCAGCAAACCTAATAAAAACAGAAGTAGGTATGTCTCAGTTGCAAGTACATGGTCTTATACGAAATGAAGTATTTAATCCATACGTATACCAGCTAAAAAAATAAACCTTCGTGAAGCACTAATCACCTATAACCATTATGCAGTCCCGCACAGCAGTTCTCTTCATCCCTTGATCCCTGCACAAGAGCATTATCATTATCATCGTCATCATCATTATTATTATTATTATTATTATTATTATTATTATTATTATTGTTGTTGTTGTTGAAATTTTGCACTGCTGGTGATGTTACATGCAGCTGGTTTCTTCTCTGGCTCCGGGTAACAACAAGTTGTCCAGGGAAGCCAAAGAACACAATCTCTCTTCTTTCCTCTCCCTACATCTCAAGTATCTTTCTTAAGATTTTTGCTGACCCCGACACTAATTGCACATTTCTGGATCATTTCCACAGAGATTTCCACGCCAATAACCATCTAGGATCTAGTTGTTCGAAGGTCGATTAGCGCTAACGCGAGATTAAATTTTAATCTGGGTTTCTTATTCTTCTGTTCAAATATAAGTCTAATTCGACCAGGAATCCTTAATTCGACCTCTGAAATCCTTATTTATTTATTTATTTATTTATTTATTTATTTATTAGCATTTTCTTGGATAATTTTCTCTGTTCTTTATAGAGCATCAAATCATTGCATTGTAGACAAAAGGTATTAAAACTGAATTATTTTGTTTTTAAAAATTTCATATCTGAATTCAATTTGCGCAGTGACCCTTGCTTCTCTTATCCGTGCTTCGAACAACCCGGCCCAGCTTGTTTTTCAAACTCATTATTGGTACTGTTCCTAATGCCCCAAATTAAGACCGAATTCACCTTTTTCCTTACATCCCACATTTTTCGAAAGGCTCTTGCAAGATCTTGATACTTTTCAACTTTCTCATCTTCCGTTTCTCCCACACGTCCATCATCTGGAATTGCCACATCTATAATTATTATTATTATTATTATCGTTATTATTATTATTATTATTGTTATCATTATTATTATTATTATTGTTATTATTATTATTATTATTATTATTGTTAAACTTTGTACTCACTATCTGTCTTCTCAAAGGCTAAGAGCTTGCAGTTAATTCTGGATATAAGTGCAAGTGACAGATTAAATTTGTTATATGCAGTAGATCACTGACTAATCAATAGGTTGCGTTCAGAGCTATGTCAAATTATGTTCCCTGCAATGGTGTGTTTTTAGTTATAATAGTGTACCTAGTAAGTAAAAGAACGATCCCTTGGTGTCAGCCAAAAAACAAGTGTTTTGAAAATCGGTTGTCACAGTTTTCGCAGTGGATGTCCGAGTCGGGGCGTGCGCAATATCGCTCTTTCATTTTGTGTAACGTATTTTTCTTGGTCATATCGGACATGGTGGTTGCAATACAGTAGACTTGGTTTTAATGTGAAGTATGAGTTTCGTTTTTTGAAAAGGAAAGCAAAACAGTTTAAAAAAGGCAATAAAATTAGGACAATTTTCAATCAAAAGAAATTTCCTACTGGACTTAAGCGTTGCATTTACGTTTCCTTCACAAGTTTGACCATTTCTCTCTCTGCAGATATTTTACTATACGGCTGAAGAAAAGATTTAACCAATTACCGCAAGCCGCTTTAACGATCATCAAACGCTTTATGACAACATCACGTGGTAAAAAGAGAAATTCACCCCAAAGACACATTAGGATTTCAACTAACCTCAACGAACTTCAAGTAACCGACAATGCCAGCGGAGCTCGGTATGTAAAGGCAATGGGCGTGTAAGGAATTGTGGTACAAGTCCCTTTCATTGTGGTTAAACAAATCCAGATACATCGTGGGTAGAATTCGAAAATTTTTGTCCGTTGTGGTCGTCCCTGTGAGGATTAGGTCTGCTGCCTTGCTCGCTCGCTTCAAGGCTCGCTCGCGCGGTAGTAAAAACAATTTAATTTAATTTTTCTAAAAAAGTATATATATTAGATTCGGTTTTTGGATATCCTTGAACCTTAGCAGATAGCACAACTCTTAACTCGACCTTGACGGTAGTTCAGGATATCACAAAAACCTTAATTATTCAGTAGTTAAAAATGTATTAAGTGTTCGTAACTGAAAAGCGAGTGGAGCAAGGAGCCTCATCTTTAATTTGTTCTTGATATATGACTGGCCAGCGAAAACAAAGGAATTCATCTTACATACCACAGGAAAACTTTCATAGAGTCACATTTAATCTTTGACTAACAAGAAACTGAGTTTTGTATTATGGATATGTTTAAAATTAAATGTCCTTGGAGCCTTTTTAAATTTGTGTCTTAACTTACAGACTCACATAAATTGTTTCACCTTAAAGCTGATGCGGCATCTGAACTTGCATCTAACACGACACTCTTTCCCTTTAACTTGTAGCGATACATGTCTTTGCTAACAAAGGGAGATTCCAAATTGGCTACTGAAATATCAGCGTTCCTTACATACTTTGCCACTTCATTGAAGGAGTCATTATAACTGTGATATCCATGTTCCACGTAATATTTCAAGGGCACGGAAAAGGAAACATCACCAACAAACAGTAAATTCACGTGTTCTAAAATAGAAAAGAAAATTCGTTTAGAAAAAGAAGTGCAGTAAGTCCGCATCAATCAATCAATCAATCAATCAGTTCATCAGTATCATAGTGCGTGATAGGATTACCTTGAGTATCCGAGCTGGAGATTCATGTATAAAACGGATGGCGAAGAAAAATACAATATATGACAATAATGATGAATATGATGATGATGATGATGATGATGATTTGAAACTATTATAAATGTATGATACAATAATTTGAATTATTAGAGCGGTTTTCATTTGAGTGTCGAAAAGTAATTGGTTTTGCACTTTCTACACGATGCGATTGGCTTAAAAGATTCGCGCCACCTTTTCATCCAATCAGAAGTAAAACCAAAGCCAATTGTGACGCGCTCGCATGCATTTTCCCGCGCTTTGCGTCAGCCACATGTAATTACTTCGAGTTTTGATTGGTTCAATGTATTGTCTGTGTCCTATGTGATTGGCCAGAGTAATTGCTTTGGTTTTGGTTTTACGACACTCAAACGAAAACCACTCTATATCTGGAAATGTATCAGTGTAAGAGGTACTCAAGTAACACCCTCCCACATGTATCACGCCCTAATCGGTCATTTAATGTTGTTGCTGGACGACCCCTTGGGTGTCTGCCGTGTTTTGGTTCCGAAAGAAGTTTTTGGGAAATAGTCCTGAACAGTCTCATTTGTGGCCACTAAACTGCACCCTAGCTTCTCTCTAACGTCACCCCTCGCATTTTTTTCCGGCTCCTTTTACACTGCACTGTCTCCACTATTTGAACACCTGGAACGGGCCACTAAGCCCCATTTTGTGATGGATTTGAGTTTCTCGACTAAAAAGAAACGGGTTTAAATCTGGGGGCTGTTTGTATGCCCCCTTCCCTCACGCCCTTCAAAGAAAAGATCATCAGAAATGCAATTTTCAACATTCTGGGCATCAATGAGACACGGTTTTCCTGACTTTTTATCGTGATTGTTATGTTATGAAGAATACCAGAGTTAGGAATCAAATTCGTCGTTCTTGTTTTTTCTACCCTTTAAGTCTGATCACTGTGAGTCTTATAAACTATTAGATGGCATCAATAGACAGTTTCCAGAGGCCCTGCAAGTGTTAGTAGATCGCTGGTAAGGTAAGTTAACATTTTAAAATATTTTTCTGCCTTCGGAAAATTGTCACAGATGCACCCTCATGTACCCTTCTAAATACACCGGTAGGTTTACGGGTGTTGATATTCAGTGTACAGAAATGCATGATTGGATGTCTTGTGTTGACTGCTTGTTTCGTCTTCAATCTGATTACACCACGCGCTTCACATCGTTAATTAAACAAAAAATTTGGTAAAAACGTAAATAACAATAACCATACACCAATAGACTACTTTTCGAAAGGGGTTAAGGGAACTTTAGGCAGCCCTGTTACGCTGTCCACACCCAATCACTGAAACAAAAGAACAAGCATTTTTACGTTGTAACTTTTACTGTAACCTGTTAAACCTCTTTTGATGTGACAAATATGAATTGTATAAAATTTTAAGAATATTCTACGTAGAATAGTATACCCGATAACTTTACCCTAAAAATAAAAATTGCTATTAGATTAATATCTCTATCTTCAAATAAACTGAACTCTTACCAACTGTCGTAGTACTCAAGCAAGATATTGACATTAAGAGCCAGTAAATCATGACCTGCTGATTCATAACTGGGTGTAACTTTTTGCGTTTGATAACAATTATTTTTCTAACAACATCATTTCCCATAAATAAAATGGAAATGAGATAGTCAAGTTATCAAAAAGGTCGTTTCTCTATTGTTGACGATTGGAGCAGAATTTATCGATCGGGCCCCTAAATTTTTCATTAGTCTTTCAGAGGATCTTAAAAAAAGTGTGCTCTGGCCAATCACATGATTTTAAGACAATCATCCGTCATACAAGCATGACACCGTAAATATTTTTGTTTTAGCTGGATCTTTGTGTTCCACAATGTCTTCTCTTACGCCACAGCTAATGAACTGAACTGGTTCGCTATTAAACTGAAGAGAAGAAATTAACTCATTACAGGAGAAAATTTCTTCTAGTAATTAAGGCCTTCAAGTACGCCACTTGAACTAACGCAAATTCTTCCCGATAAATTAAAGGAAATTAACTCAAAAAAAGGAAGTAAAAATTCAACGTGCAGGAAATTAACGCGACGTACGCAAGGGAACCAAACTTGTCGCGACAGCAACAGGAGCAAATTTATATTAAAAACTTAACGTTAAGTTGACTCCCCCCAAACGTAGGACCGCTGACCAGGTCGAGCGTTCTTCACAGTTTCAGTGATACCGACGGATCCCCAAAGAGATTAATTTAATGCTTTTCTTAGGTGTCAATAAAGAATAGAGTGTATCGAGTATAGAGCGTTTTCACTCACGCGGTCAACATCTATGTAAATTTATTGGAACAAAAGAAAGCGCTTGCATAACTAAGAAAAGAGTTCAACTCCCAAAGGACAGGTTTGGGACACCAACATGGCCGCCGTTTCATTGTTTTGGAACACCAATATGGCCGCCGTGTACCTTTTGTTTTCCCAATGTATGTCATTTGATAATACCCAGACTCAGAGAACTCTCTCACTCAAATTTTTATCTTATTCCTGTGCATATGAAAAGACAAAGGAGCAAATTCCCCTGAGACCTAACCTTCATTGGGAAACCAACAAAACAACTTGAAGGGCCTTCCGAGTATTGGGGGGGGGGGGGTACTCCCTATAATGGCCCGTACGGGGAGGCTCCACCCAAAAGGGGTACCCTCTTCAGGCTTCAGGTAAAAAGTGTAAGAGGTTCGAGCCTCCCCTACGAAACTTTCTTGAGTACACACCCCGCCTCGGGTTCCTGAGTCTGCCGAGGCCTTACTAACTCCCCTCTGATGATTTGTTCTTTGTCCCGAGGTTTTCTCACGCGGTATCGCTACGGGACCTTCAGGGTGTGGTTCCTGGTCGGGCTGATAATTCGTTTTATAACTTTGACTTTAGGGACCTTAAGATCTGAGGAAGGCGACGGAAGCGAAAGCGTTGCTTAAAACGTGATTTTGCGTGCTTTCTTCATTGTGATTATTCTTACCTACTCACTTTGTCAAAAGTAGGCAAACTCTCCTGGAGTTGGAGTTCACAAAAAGAAAGAAAATTTCGTCATGGCTTGTTTACGTCCTCCATAAAACGTGAAATTAGGCATTTGCTCGTCGTAGTCGTGCAGTGAAGGCAAAGAAATGTACTGCACGTACAGAGTTGTTGTTATGCAAATCAAACCTATTGACCACTACAGAAAATACCGTAACATACCATAACACTCTTTTTGGTCACTACAAAATTTTGCATAAGCATTGTCTTCAGTTTCTCTTGGGAATTAAAATGGCTCCAATAGAAACTGTAAACAACGCTTAAACAAAATTTTGGAGTGACCAACAAAGTGTATTATGGTATGTTATGGTATTTTCTGTAGTGGTAAATTGCTTTTTTGACATTCTTGTTACCTTCGCCGTCGTCGGATCTCAAGCTCTGAGCCTTAGAGGTTGTTTAATTGGAGCTGTTTGTATTAAACTGTTTTCGCCTGTTACTCTCTCCTCCTCAACTGATCTCTCTATGTCGTAGGAAGGCTTGGGAGAGGGGAAAAAGGCGGAGGAGCAGCCTCGTTCCCAGGTTCTCTCTCCTACCCGTCGTCTCTCACCCGCTCCGTTGGGACGGGTAGGAGAGAACCGTGGGACCGAGGTTGGCGGATGAGCCTCCGCGCAGGGAGAAAGACAAATAGCGTCTGTGGAGACAACTTGTTTTCCTTCCTACTCACAACTGCCTTCTGCCTCTGGGCATATTTAACCTTTGACTGATGGTCTGAAGTCTGGTACTAAACAAACTCGGCTAACCATACGAATTCATCGCACGGAAAGGACTTAGCACACATCGTCATTCAAGAGAAGATTTGTACTAGAACAGTATCCCGACATGTTAAATATTATTTTGGTTCCGAGGCCTGAAAATTAAAAGAGGGTAAATGCTATTCTACAGTATTTGTGATTTTTCCTTCCACCATGGACTACAGGAAACATGGCTTTCGAATAAATAAAGATGTCAACTTAATTAAACGAACATTTGACCTTCATTTAGTCAACACCCCTGTTTCTTATAGCCCATGCTTACACTACAAGGGAGAAAAATGGGACCACGTTGAACCACAACAACCTTTTCTGAACGAAAACTGGTTTTTATACAATCAATTCGTAAATATGTAAGTTGGCGGTATTCAATGTTGCAATATTTGCACGAACTGGCGAATTTAGGCATGAAAACCTGTTGAAAATCAAGCCGTTGATGGAAACTGTTTGAGGGACCCTCATTTTTGACAACGAAATATATTTTTAGATAATTGTGAACGAACTAATTCTGATATTCCAAAGGATATTTTATTGCCAACAGGAATGGACCACAATTTAAAATATCAACACCGTGAACAACCTCAAGAACATCTGCCCTGGTAAAAAAATAAGTTAGATTATTATGGTCTATTTTAGGTTAGACTTAGATTTGTTTTGTTTCCCTTTTTGGTTTCTCTTCTTCTTGCATTTTTGCAACTCTTTTCACATTGCGTGTCCTTCTTTCCGCACACTCTTATCCATTTGGCGTTCTTTATTGGCTGTGGATGAATTCTTTTAGTTTTAAAGTCAAATATAATTTTTACAGGAAGATATGAAGCTCTCAGTACACCATTTCTGAAAGAAAAAGAACATCGGAAATGTCAAAATAAACAAAAGGGAATTTCTCGTGCCACGGTCATGGCTTTTCTGCAAAAGATTCCTTGAAGTTAATATATACGCAATTATTTGTCCTATCAGACCAAAGTGAAACAAATTGCGTCAATTGTATCTAAGAAAAACTATTCAGCCCGTAAACTGGTAAACGGTGTTCTACTTTACTATATATATTGCCATATGATTGGACCAAGAAGAAACAAACTGAAGAAGTTTCATGAGGACGTCTACACACAATTCGTCGTCTTACCTTGATAAGGTTACTTTTAGC